TGTTTGCCATCGGCGACGCGCGAACATCCCAATGTAGGCCAAAACGAAGCGGAAACAAGCTGCGCCACCTCTAGCAGTTTATCAAACTAATTTAAACCTATTCAAGTTTATTTTTAAAAAAGGACCAAAAATCTAATTACGTCTAAGTGTATCCAAATTGCTTTAGATTGTGCGCGCTGCTTTAGTTTAGCTGAGTCTCAGCATGTGCGCTGCCAAATTTGAAACTTTCGGGCCGATGCAGCGCGCGAGCGGCGAATTGCGTGCTTGTTCCTTGTGGTCTTCGGACGAAGGGGGTAATAAGCATTATGGACCTGGTCTTAGCCGCGCACGGTCTTGGACCGCTGCGTTGCCGTCTTTATGTTTAAGTTTGGTGAATTCGGGTCGAATTAATGTCATCCTCAGAGCATCTCCACTTGCCTTTTATAATGCGTCCGACGTAGACCACCCACAACTTTGGTACCACACACGCCCGCGCTGGGGTATTGTGTGTTTGATGTTCTCCTAACGACACAATGGCGATGCTTCTCTGCACAGTATCAACAATTGTGGCGGAAGCAAGCAACCGACGGCAATAATTACAAATGCCATGGATGTGTGTTGCTGTGTATGTGTATAGTGTGACAGTGCACAGGCAATTTTTATTTCATTAGCCCTTTTTGTCAACTTGCGATTGCTGCTAGCTTTCCGGCGTTTTTTAAATAGTTTTGCCACTAATGCAAAAGTCGGGAGCATCCTCAAACACAAACGCCGAAATCATTTCAACATCAAGTCCTCGTCAAGGCCCTAATTCCATTTGGGTTTTTTGCGCGGCACGCCATCAGCGATAGGAAGCGTCGGTGCAAAAAGCTCACCGGAAATAAATCAGTCTCAACTGGAAGAAGAGTCCGGACAGTTTAGGATCTTCTTGCGTGCGCGGTCGAGCTTTTTCTTTTCCTGTTTGGTTTCATACGCGTTGCTCGTGGCGAAGTTTCGAGGCCATCAAATTCATTCGTTAGTTTTCGGTTACAAATGTAACACTCAAATCAAATAATTAATGATTTTTTGCGTCTCTAAAGCTATTTTCTTTTGCCGAGAGTGGAAAAAGTTTAATTTATCTACGTGTGCGGGGTATTTTTTTCGTCGTTTCTTTCATTGCACAATTTATATGTAATTAAGTTTAATAGAGGACATTCACGGAAGAGTGACTTAACTTAATTTCTAGCTCTAGCTCCACTGCGCTCGTTCGCCCCGTCTCGCATTAACGAAGTTTTATATCCAATGACGCTTTTATTATTATTATCCTTTTCGCTCTGTTCTATCATGAATAAGTCAAACTTCTTCGGAATCATCGGAATTTAGTGAGATGTGTACGCGTGGATGTTGAAAACGGCAATGATAAACTTTGCGACGTAAATCAAACTTTTTTGCGGTTGAAAATAGCAGCTTGCGAGCGAAGCCAGATCGATATTTTGCAGAAATGTTTGCACTTTGCGTAGGATGCGGTGGAAATATGCGGTAGCATCTCGGATTTACGTCAGTTTAGTTTGGCCTGAATGGCGTGTTGCGCGTGTAAATCTTAACACTGGCGCGGCGCGTAAATCTGCGACAGTTTCTCTATCTAAAACTAGCGCCAGGTTCGCCACTCCCGCCCGGATAAAAGGAATCGTAAACTGGAAAAGCGTGTCTGTCGCTGGCTCCCATCTCTCCATCTTCCATCCGACTTGCTACACACACAGTATGTGTTTATGTTGTGTTTCGGCGTGCAGGCAAAACAACGTCTATGTTTGCGCAAGTGCGCGTCGCCGTCGCAGGGTTTCACCAGGCGCGCTGGGGCCCATTCTCTTTAGACAAATTACTATCGCCCATTTCCTTCCGTGCGCGCAATTCCCTTCGACTGCGAACACCGCGCGCCGTCGTTTTCTTTAGTTGGTGGGCTGTGCCGCGCCATAGTTACAGGGGCGATTACAACTGAAACTGTTTGGGAGCGAGAGTACATTCTTGGCTGGTGGAGTCGGTTCGCCTGGCCGCCTCCCAGCTCCACGTGAAAGTTAGCCGTGTGAGCGTCAATGGCAACGAAAGCGGAGTTATTGCCGAAAACCCTTCTTTAATTTTCCTTCCTAGACTTAATACGCTTTTCTCGGAATGTGAGGATGTGCTGAACCTTGTATCTAACCTCACATTCGCTCCCGGGGTGTATTATGCGTTGCATACAGTGAGAGCATATTCAGATGATTTGACTTCTCAATTTCAAAACGAACAAATTCAAGTCGAGAGAAGTCCTAATTTTACGTCTGAAGTATCTTATTACATTTGGAAAACTAGCAATCCCCTCACAAGAAGGGTTATGATGAGGCATAAGATATTTCATCTCCACTCGTCTCATTGAATTGAAATAATCATACGGTATAAAGGAATTCAGTCGGAGCGGAACAAAGTTCGCGGCGATTCGACGGCATGGATTTCGCACAGGTAGCGCAGGGTTGGTAATACGTGCGAGAGGAGTTTGGCGCGCAAGTTTGCGATGAAACAGGTCCCTAATTGCTAATTTCGCATCCCCGTAAGGTAGCAACGTAGCAGAGTCATGTGTGTCATTATGTACGGAGAAAGACAAGGGTGGAACCTGGCGAGGCGCGTACGTGCGCTTTCACAGCTTGTCTGCCGACGTGCAGGACCTTAAATGCGTTTAACAATTCGGTATCGCTAATATCAAACCGGGGAATAACCGCGCACATACACGGGCGCTGCCGCGAAATTTAACCACTGCGCCGCCGCCGCCGCCCGAAACTCGTTTATGCAAAAACGTCCGCTTTTAATGGCGTTAAAAATGCGCCGCTGGAGTCCAATCGATTAAATTGAGCACCGTCGCACAATCATTTTTACTTTTTCACGTGTGCGAATATTCCAGATAAGTAGATGATTTTTTTTCTCTGCCTCGACTCTGGTGTGTGTTATTTTTTCCTTTTTACGCTGTCGCGAATATAAAAACGCAGCTAAATTGGATAAAAAGGGCATAACCGCACATTTCACGTTGGCGACGACAACGAAAGTGGGTTAGTGGATTTTACGTGTGGAAGAATATGAGAAACAGGGAAGAATAGAAGAAAATTTGAAAATGTCGTTGAATGAAAAGCGAGCGCGCGCGTCACGGGGAGAAAAAACCGAGAGAACAACCGAAAAATGTTTACTTTGCGCCGTGGGAGAAATTTAAATTTTCGCGAATACTTGACTTTTCATAAATAATAAGAAACGCGTAACACAACGCCCGAGAGCATACAGAAATGATTGTTGTACTCATTTCACCTTCTTACATTTTGGTGCCATCTATCAGCAAGCAAACAACAACAATACAAGATAAACTTTGTTTTTGAATCATACCAACAGCGGATATTTACATTTATAAATTATAAATTAAATTGAATTATCATTTTGTAAATTAATTTCTTTCACTATTGACTTAAATAGTCCCAAAATAATTAATTTTCTTTGTTTTTTTCAAAAAAATGAAATAAAAACTTTAAAAAATGCAATTTTTTCTTCATAATTCAATTCCATTGAAATAATTTAACTAAAATGACATAAATTTAAGCAAATATAACTTTGTAAAACTATCCCAACAACATAATAAGTTATTTAAAACTCATATGTACTCGCATTCATACTGCTCCGCAATAAAACCATCTGATTTATGCACAACTATAAAAAGTTATTATTTTAAAATTGAAAAATCTTCGTGTTTGCCCAAGAATTCCAATAAAATACCAAATTGTTATTAAACATGTAGCGGCGCAGAAAGAAAAGAATCGCTCGGGAAACTGCTACAAATCATATCGATACGCTCATATTGCAAAAAGTTCGCACACAAAACCGCCGGCGCATCTTTTAAACTTTGAACCGAATGATTCACCCTCCACCCTCCATCATACGAAGCCATTACGCGAACACTACGAACGTTTATAACATGTTATAATATGTGTCTGAAAGAAGGGCGAAATGAATAGCCCGACCATTCGACCTCTGTGTGTGCGCGCACGAGGATGTAGAGATATTAGTCCGAAAAGGCCAACCCACAAGTTGGAAGACATTATATAGCGACTGTTAAAAGTTGCATAGTTGTAAGTTATTACCGGCCGACTGCGGCACTACCTTGCAACGACTTGCAAATTGATTAAAATAGTTGAACGTCTACATTATAAGCGCGCGCGGGCAAAGTGTTGCTGCTGGGCTGTGGGCGGGCGGAGTTTGCCGCATCAGGGAAACTGCAAAGCGAGTTAGTAAATTTCAGAGCGCGAGCGCGAGCGCGCTTAGTGCGAATTGTAACTCGTCGGCGGGCAATAAAAAGAATTTGAGAGTGCCTTCGCCAATTGTCGGGCGTAAACTTTTCGGAGCGCACCACGATGACATCAGCGAGCACTTTGAAGTTAATATTGGTCATTTAAAAGTTTAATTTTTCATAACTAGCGCCATCTATCGACACACGCGCGTTATTTGTCTTTTCTCGCAGCGTGGTAATTTGTTGGAACGAAACAATTTGTTGTGAAATTAGCGACACGTTCGGCGCCCAATCCGAGGATGTCTTACAAGCGGCGTCGAGCGATTGAAGCAGCTGTACAAAAGATCGAACGATTCGAGGATGAGAAGAAAGGAAACAAATAGAAATATCCCCAAATGACGACGACACAATACGGCACACAATCAGAGGAAAGAAAGATACAACACCGCCGCCATAAACGGCGGCGGCAATGGCAATGGTGGTGGTGGTGGTGGCGTCCCGTAGATAGATAGCTGTAGGAGGATGGCGCGGGTAACCGCATTGATCCGTTCGAAATTGCTGTACGTCGAAACCACGCGACCGAACAACTTTATCCCGATTGTAGTGGCGCATAACATATAGCCGAGCGGACGAAAATAATAAATTACAATCATTTCGCTTCATTAATTTAATTATGCTATTACGAACGCATAAATTTATCCTCGATATTGGATTTGCCCTGTCTGGATTTTATTAATAAGAAATAACTTACCATTTCTTCCATCACTGGACGACAATCTGAAACAATATATACAAAAATTAGAATTATGTTTTCATAACCAAAACACAGTCGAGGTCAAGTTTTCATTGGAGCACATTAAACGAATATTAAATTTCAGCATGTCGGCCTGCTAAAAACAGCAGCTAATGTCATTATTTTCGAGCCAAAACACGCAAAACTGCAAACCGCACCCAGCACACACATTCAACCCGGCTTTGGTTTTAGATTTAAAACTAATTTGCCGGTGTCGCAGTTGTTCCTAGATGTGGTTAAATTCGCAAACTAAAAGTTTACAACCGCAATTTATGTGTTTAATTAAATTCTTTTTGCGTCCCGAACAAATATAGACTTAGGTTTATAACGATATATCTCATCTTCGAGAAATGTGAATATTATTTCGTCGACGTCGGGCGCGCAAACGAGTTCGGAAAACTCGCATCAGGTTGTTGTTGATTTTTGTGCGCACCTGTCGATGCTAAGCAAACGATTGCGTCGTCGTGTTTGTTGTTGTCTTGCGACGCGCGAGCGCTATCCAAACTTGGAAAACAATTTTCTCTCGACGGCGGTGGTGGTGGGTAGCGCGGTGGCGGCGACGACGTGGGTCGCCTGATTCGGTTATTTTGTTTCGCCTCGTTCGGCAGCTTGAATTTACGGTGTGTGTCTGCTCCGGCTGCAGTAAGTTAACATCCTAGTAAGTGTAAGTACATGCATCGCGGCGACGAGCGTCAGCAACAGGCAATTGCATGTTGCATGCGCATAAAACTAGTTACATAATCATACTCTATCAATTGGCTTATCTATGCCATCCGTTCGGAAAATTACATTTCCTAGCTACCTAGCAATATCTAGTCACGAATGGGAATAAAATACAAATAATTTTATTCATATTTATTACCAAAGTTTGCTGAGGCAGTAATTGTAAACTTTTTTATTTAGGACGTCATTACGCCGCCTCCCGGTACTTATTTATTAGTTAACACTTAACACGAGCATGAACCAAAGCCAAAATCCAAGAGAAAATATATGCGCCGAGGTCGTAAAGAGCCAACAATTTGTTCTCTCAATTTGCGCCCCTCTACAACAGCAGTTAGTTAGTAATAATATGGTATGGTGGTGGCGGCGGCGCCTGGACATTCTCACTCACGCCGGTTTGCTGGTAGATGCATTAGTAAAATTATAATTGCACTTTCGAAACTCGAGTTCGCGGCGTCTGCGTGTCCGTACTTATAGCGCAATTATATTAAACAGCCATAGGGGGTGTAAACTTTCACACCCCCGCACACTCGACACACAATATGCATTCGACACGTCTCCAAACGTCGAATAAAAAACATTCATATATTGTAATTTGATTAAATTAAATTTATTTGCGCGAGCCTTTAATAAATTTGCATTTACGCATCGATTTTGTGTCGGTGGTGTTATTTAATCAAATAATAAATGAGTTTTCAGCTACCGAAAAAGATATGAAATTCAGTTGTGTACAGCGAGTGGAAAATCAGCGCAGCGTGCGCAAACCATTGATACACATTACAAATGATTACACATGCAGCACGCGACTGTTGCACCATGGCAAATTTGCGCGTCCGAATGCAAATTTAATTTAAGCCTCGCGCAAGAGCGCTGTGCTAATGAATATAAACAAAGTGATATTAGACGCGCGCGCTCCTTTTGTGTTCGGGCTCGTCTCATCGACGCCGCGCGGCGAATCTTCGCGTCTTTATCGGACGTACGTACGCCCGATGCGCATTATCCCGAATTTGTAGTTTTCCATCCCTAATACGTCTCTATGTGTGTGTATGAGCGCGCACAGGCGAATTGGCCCGAGGGCAGACCCTGTGCTCTGTGTGTATGGCGCGGCGCTGATTCAAATAGATTGCCCTTTTAATTAAAATTGCTTAAATGTTTGCGCGCGGCTCCTTCGATCCTGCTCGCGCAGCATTCGCTTTGTTTTCGCTACGTCTCTGCTCGATCGCCGATCATTAATTTGCATACGATTTAATGCAAACGGATTCCACTTTGTCTTAAACAAACTTCACATGTATTTATTTGTATTGCATAAACACATTCTGCATTGTAACGTTAATCCCTCTAGGAAAATTTATAATAATCAGTGCATTACGTATCCAGAGTAGAAAATAATGCAAAATTTTATGTGAAATTTTTCACTAAAAATGCTTTTAACCTAAAATTTGAGCAAATTTTGAGGTTATGTTGCTAACCAACTAATCCAGACAATTTTTTTCGCCAAAGTCAAAGTTTTGAAGTATTTTTTCACGTCTAAAAGTGAAAAAAAATCAGAAACCTGAAATTGTGTTCAACGCCTCCTTAGTTTACTTAAAAACAGCGTTTTTAAATGAAATATTAACAAAATTTTGTTTTATTTTTGTTCCAGTGCCCATAGTAAACGTAAAAGTGGTAGCAGGCGATCCGGTGTATCTACCCTGTGATATTACCTCATCGGATCCACATGACCAAGTATTACTAGTCCTGTGGTATCGTGAAGACCTCGGAACACCAATATACAGGTATGTATTTTCCGAAACTTCAAAATTTACAACTTTCTACATTTCGAGTACAAGTTTTGCATGTGTTATTATTGGTAATACAGTGTCGGATACAAATCAAAGCAAAATGTAGATGCAGATGAAGCTCCACTGCGCGTTTGCTATTCTTGAAATCTCATTGTGATGGCTCATGTTGACAATGCGTCAACCGGCATTCGTGTGCGCGATTCACGCACTCGCACAAAGCGCAGTCGAGGTTAGTTTGACGAGAAATGGGAAATTATATTGCCGTCACTAACGCAATCTTCCACTCAACGAAATCAACACAACGCGACAGAGAACCAGCATTCACACGTCGTTACATCAACCAGAGTGAAACAAACAATGCGCGCGCGGGCGCTACACAAGTGGAGAAATGTTTATGCGCGTTTAATTAATACGCGCAAAGAAAAGCCGACAACGTATATTTCACACGTGTGTGAATGTTCGTGCGCATGCAAGTCGAAGATGGGACGATGGGAGATTTTATGGTCGAGAGTATATGCGGCTTGGTTCCGCTTCCGTTTCGTATAACTACTATATATGCGCGCAGAGAGGATGTGCGAATGTGGCGCTGCAGGCGAACGCGAGGACAAGTATGTGCGAAAATTAATTTTCTACCGCGCGTTAGAAAATGGGAAATTTATGTGTAATTATTCCATGTTGAATTATTAAGTTTTAAAATTAATTAATCAGAATTTTCATCGCGCAGGGCACAAAGTCACATCCGCCAAAGATTCTTAATTCTACGTGAAAGTGTATCTGTCTTTTTTCACCAAAATTAAATTATTGTACAGTGCGTGAGTTTGCATTAACCACACAGCCTATAGATATCATTTCGTTTCCTTTCGGCAATTTATTTTCATTCTTGTATTACGACGCACATACTTGCACGTTCGCATAGCTCGCAAAGGGCCAAATGGGTTTCATCCGCCTGCGTCGCGAAAAAACTAGGACTTTCGCCAGTGTCAACCGACGCTTCTTGCAGCTTCTTACACTCCCGACTCGCAACTGCGAGTTGAGTTGCTTTATGTTCTCTCGCAATTCAACGCGCGTTGTACTCCTCCTCATCTGCTTTCGGCTGAGCTTCTCAATAGGTTGCTTGCTTTCGAAAGAGAGTCTAGGTGTAAGAAGGCAAGTAAATTTTTGGCCCGCGACGTTTTCTTCATCGCAATAAAAAGTGTCGCGCGCGAATTTATTATATATTATGTTATTCCAGATCGTAAAAGACTTTTAAATCAGATATCTAAGAGATGAAATTTTAATTCATAAGAAAAAATGGGCAAAGATAATTTAATTTAAAGACTTATGATAATTAATATCTCTTAAACTAAAAGCGATAGCAACCAACGAATTGCTGATTATAAAGGATTGGAAAATTTTTTATCAGATAAAAGTATATAATAGTTATATTTCCAACAGTAAAAAATCAAAAAACGCGACTAAAAGTACTAAAAAGTGACATTTTCCAATGTTTGCCCATTTTATTCAATCGCGAATATCTCGTAAACTAAAAGAGATAATTAAGATCTGATCGCAGCGTCTTAATCTACGGACTATTCTCTATATGATAGAATACTTAAAACGGAAATCTGAGAGATGAAATTTTGATTCTTAAGAAAAAATTGCCAAGGGGGGGTGCTTGATACTTTTTTTCGACGATTTTTGAAAGCTAATATCTTCTAAACTAAAAGAGCTAGCAACCAGAAGAATGTAGATTATAGAAGATTGGAAAATTCTCTATCAGACCAAAATATAAAATAATTATATTTCCAACGGTAATAGGTCAAAAAACGCCCCCAAAAGTACTAAAAAGTGCCATTTTTCAATTTTTGCCCATTTTATTCAATCGCGAATATCTCGTAAACTAAAAGAGATAATTAAGATCTGATCGCAGCGTCTTAATCTACAGACTATTCTCTATAAGATAGGATACTTAAAACGGAAATCTGAGAGATGAAATTTTGATTCTTAAGAAAAAATTGCCAAGGGGGGGTGCTTGATACTTTTTTTCGACGATTTTTGAAAGCTAATATCTTCTAAACTAAAAGAGATAGCAACCAACTAATTGCTGATTATGAAAGAATGGAAAATTCTCTATCAGATAAAAATATAAAATAATTATATTTCCAACAGTAATAGGTCAAAAAACGCCACTAAAAGTACTAAAAAGTGACATTTCTCAATTTTTGCCCATTTTATTCAATCGCGAATATCTCGTAAACTAAAAGAGATAATTAAGATCTGATCGCCGCGTCTTAATCTACGGACTATTTTCTATAAAACAAGACAGTTAATTTGGAAATCTAAGAAATAAAATGCTAAAAATTGAATTTTTTTAATATCTTATATATAATTATGTTTTAATTGTTTTAGCGTGGACGGACGAGATCGTGACTTTGGTCAAGCTGAACGCTGGTCCGATGAAAACGTCTTCGCGAATCGGGCATACTTCATGCCCGAGAAGCAACCCGCCGAATTGGGAGTGGACCACATTCGAGAATCGGACCAAGCGATGTATCGGTGTCGCGTCGACTTTAAAGTCGCGCAGACACGCAATAGCAAAGTCAACCTCACCGTCATCGGTACGTATAATCCGCATCTACATTATTTACATAGAAGGGTCGTGCCCATGCGCCTGTGTGCGAGTTGGTTGATGAGGCGAGCGTGCCCGCAAAAACATTTCACCGCCGCTCCAAATAATGCCAACGCCGCCGCGGCCATGGAACTTTTTGCCGCAGACGCCGGAGCCGACTTCAAACAAGCCCCTAATATAATAACATGTTACATCGTTAATTAATCAAATCCTCGGATGTGTAACAACCGCACGCAGAAAAACGGCGCGCCAGTGAAAAACTTACTTATTGGAGAGTATTGGTGGAGTAAATTAATCAATGCCCGCCTGCGACGGCGCAAAAAGTTTTAAAAACCTAATTAATATACTAGTATTGCGTCCGTCAGCCGGAAAAGTCATAATTAATGTATCATTGCGCTAATATCCCACTTATAACAAGCCACAGGAAGAGAAAAAAAAAACAGCAGCGGCAAACCAACCGATGCAATATTAATGTCGGAAATAAAATTCGCCTCCGCGCGCATTCGAAATGACTTATGTAGTCGAACCAGGTTCCTAATTGCCGCAATAAAAAGTTTCCACTTTTATATGTATAAGAACCTTGACGCTTCGCTTTTTTCGGCGAGAAAACTCTCCGACGCCAATGAAAGCGAATGCAAAAAGCGAGAAGAGTGAGTGGCGGGCGCGAGATGAGGAAAGCCAGAAAAAGTTATCGTGATTTATATCAGTACTTAACGTAAGCGCGCGCGCTAATTAAGCTTCGCGTATTCGATTTAGCAGCGCGGGGGCCGGTAAGTGAGTGCGCGCGTCCATTGAGACGCCGCCGCCCGCCACCGGCCGAGAGAGGGGTAGTGAAAAGTGTACGCGCATTAAACGCGCCGGCATTATTTTTTGTGTTAATGTGGATTAAGTATTCATAAAATGAATTAGGCTAGAATTTTTAATAAATTCGCGCCGGAGCTCGTTTGTAAACCGAATGGATTGTATACGCGTGCGAATGGACTCACGCTCTCGTTCTCTTTCCGAGGGGGTTGGCGGTGGGTATAATTTCGAGCGGTGTGGAAATTTATCGCTGTTGGTTACTGCTCGTAAAAAGCCAAAAATTAAATAATTTCCCCGCTTGAATTATCCACTGGTAACACACTCTACGAATATCCTTTGTGTAACGCGTGTGTTGGCCGGCGACTGGAAATTGATTTAACGAGAAAAGCGAATTAAATTTGACAAACACGTTTTTGCAATTTGGAAATTTGGAATAAATTCACGGCCGTAAATTAAAAACAAAAGTGATAGTCGCAGATTTAGTACAGCGAAACACCTTTGAGTGGTTTCCGTGCATCAAAGACATTTGTAACAATAATAAATTCATAAACACTAGAAGAGCGACGTACAAAAGCCTTTTGTGCATAGCTATCTGGTAGTTTTTTACGCGCGGCATCACCCTCTCTCGCAAGACGATGAATACTATAAAATGTGCATTTCAATGGAAACCACCACCGGTGTGTACGCTGTGTGCTTCTATCCATCCACTCGTTTCGTGATTTCAAGACGCCGCGCGCTCCCAGTGGAACCGTCCGCAATCGGCGCCGCCACCTTATCGGAGGGCGCAGGATGGCAGGATGCGTGCACACCTGGCTCGTGACGCTCTTCTTGCGAGAATTAGACAGACGCCCGCGAGGTCTTCATCATACGCGCCGGCATTACTTATTCTACGCGAGGCGTTGAATATTTATGGAAAGAACAATGCGCTGTGTTCGTCCCTAAAAGGACCAGAGAGTTTCTTCTTCAACAATGTTGCAGACGGAGAATTTGTTGTTGGCATATGTTTTATTTCACGCCATCCTCGCAAGAGGGAAGTTTTCAATATTAATCAGACTTCCATAAAAGTACTTAAAGCGGCCGTGGCGGGTTTAAGATTTAAAGCGCTGTGTGTGTTGTGTGTGTGTCTTTTGCTTCCAACTAGCTCCTGGGTGAGAGCGTATTGCGCTTCTTTGCAATTCCACTTAGATCTGGCACGCAACGTGTTGTGAACGCGTCAAGGGGGCCGCCAGGAGACGGCGACACACAATGAGAGACAATATAAAGGCACACTCTGCTAGTGTGAAACGCAGTGCGAACGCCGAGAAGAAATCTCGCATTGTTGTATTGTGTAATGTGCGTGGCAACGCCGGCAGCGCGGGCGCATTATTCAAAAGAATCGTACCTGTCTAGATAATATTATATTGTTTCATGCGGGGGCGGCAGCGACGGCCCAGTGGGAATACATCCGCACGCCAGTTTGTGTCTACTTACTCTAATATAACCCGCGTTTTCGCATGATATTGTTTGCTCGACTAGATTTCGGCCGTTGCTTTTTCTGACAATGTGAAGAAAAAGATTTACATGCTTCGTGCGTCCGACGTTGACGGCGCGCATAGTGATGCAAATTTCACGCAAATCTACGCGTCAAACATACAGATATAGATCATCAGTTGTGTTATTCATACCTATTTATTTCTCGTGTATGTAACACACAATATTTCGTAGCTCACGGCTTAAATTTTGGTACGCGATTTGTCGATGGTATCGCGACGCGGGTCGTAAATTTAATTCGTGAATGTCAAAAGCACATAAACGGTTATATTCTCGGCACACGCAGAAAGCTCAACGACTCCACACCCGCGGATTAAACGCACGTAACGCGATGATGCATCCATTCTCGTCGCTGGGACTGGTGCAGTGATACAACACAACTCATACATGTTAATACGACATCGCCGCCGCCGCCCGGTTGATATCGTCGATTCTAATTCATTCGTACGCTCGAACATCACTTGGCGCGCATCATTCATGCATCCGCGAACCACAATGGCGCACCAAACTTGTGCACTTGCGTTGATTTGTGGTACGTGAGCGTTGAAGCAAGTTTTATTTGCATTTCGGATATTAATTCAATTCTATGGTAATGTGATGGTTGCGTGTAGGCATCAGAGAGTCCGATGGGCACGCGCGGGGGAGATACACGAAACGAAAAGGGTTAGCGACGGCGACGCCGCCGCCGGAATGGGACAAAGCGAGGTCCTAACGAACTTTGCACCCATATTTCGCATTCATAACTTTAGCGCCGAGGCGCACCTGCGGCTGTCCGGCGCGGTCATTTATTGACCTAACCATGAATAACGACGGCCCGTAAATTACGCGTTTTGCCCTTCAATATTTATAACTGGGAGCTGCGCAAAGCGCTCGGGTGTAATCCGCGATACTCGAACAATCCCCAACAATCACCTGTATAACACAAGCCAATTCATCCGCGACAATTGAGCAATGATTATCATTCATTTTCATTTTGTTTCTGTCGGTATTTTTACAAAGACTAACGTTATAACATGTATGCGCTGGTAGTAAGGCAATATCTACAGCGAAATATTAACATGTTACAAGTGTGCGTCGAGAAGAGAAAATTGTTTTACTCGCGCGCAAAACTTCAAAGAATTTATGCACACAGCCGAGAATATTGGCCGGAAATAAAAGAAATACAATGAGCAAACGCGCGCGCGCATATGCTTCTTGTTGTTCGCAAAGTAGCGCCGCGCAGCACGCCTGTATGGAAATTTCATCGGCAATGCCAAGAAAAATTCCGCACAGGTCTGCGCCATTTTCCACCCGCTGCTTTACGGCGTCCCATTTCGCCCTGCGATGCGATGCGTTGCGAGCCGTTCGGAGCGTAAGTAAACGCTGACTATGAAATATTTCATGAGGCGCAGTTAGTGCGGCAATAAAATATGTTACGCGTGGTGCATGCACACGCGCAGCGGTATTGACCCTCGCGTGGAATTTACTTCCGAGTGAAATTCGCCCGTAAAATAAACAATCAATCGATGTGAATCACCGTCCGCATGAATTTTAAATTTGCAAAATATATCGGACGCACACAGATATTTACTGCGAAAGAGAATGGCCATGCTGACGTGACGTTGATGTGAAACTGATGTGAGGAAATTTTATATCGAAAGTTGCGCGCATTCGAAATACACAACGATTTCATTGATTTATTGCACTAGATGTTTGCATGTGGAATGTTTACAAACTCACATACACACCGAGGGAAACATATCATCGGAAAACTTATGTGTCTGACAGCTTTGACACAACATTGCACATCTGTAGGTGTGTGTTACGCATAATGTTTATGTATACGCGGATTACGTCGATGTAGCGTGTTTTTCAGCTCATTGCCGATTTTTATTTCTACATTTTCAAACAGCCGCGTGTGCTGCGTAGGATGCGAATTTGATTTCCGGATATTTTTTACGCATTTACACCGAATGTGCAGCGTGACACACTGACACTTGCTTGACAATAACGCGAATTGTAAACGCAATGTTGACTACACTACAACAACAAAAAAACTAATGATTTGCACGTGTGACGTCAACGGGTCGTGACATGTAAGGCCAAATTTCGTGCAAAATTGAGTACACACTCAAACACATTAAGTTAAATTGTTAATTTCTATTCATAATAAATTCCTGCATTAGCGCATCAGCCAATCACATGCATTAGATATACTAATATACAGTGTGTTTATAATTTCAATAATTACTTACTATTAATCTAATTTCTGATGTTTTTTAAGCGTATCTAAAGAAAATATTTATTTTTGTTGAAAATATCTAATGTATAATGCGATTAATTGATTATGAATGCAAGCACATTGTATGTATATGAATGCGTCAGTTCAATTATACAATGTGCTTTATAACGTAACCCCGTGATGCGAAATATTTAGCGTGTTTATTGTGCCAGCGCGACACGGTGACGTGAGCGGCGGCGCGCGTTTCAATTGGATGGCCACGCGTTAATTACAATGCCGCCGCGGCGGCGGCGGGCGCGTACGTATACGAGACGCATATAATAATAATTGATGTGAATTAGCAATCTGTCAATCAGTGGGCACAAGAGGACATGGGAGTAAGGCCGAAATGTTTGCGGCTATCGTCAATGGGGAGCGATACGCGCTCGCGCAATGCGGGCGGGTGGCTGTGGAGGCAGGCGGAGGCAGGCGCGCATTGCCGATACGTACCAATCAGTGAATGCATCTCGCGTAAACGGAATCAAACGAACAAAACTAATCGGCGGTATTATGCAACTGGCGCGCGAGTTCATCGTTTAATGCGGAACGTACCTGCTACATTTGGCATGTGCAGGTATTATGCATGCTAAGCAGATATCGGTAATTATTATACACTAGGCATCAAAATTCAATTTCAGCCGATATTCAGTAATAAATTATAATATTCGCTTTTTCCTGCAACTTCGATGTAGTTGTTAGTAATTTTGTAATTAATTTTCACTTTTTTGATCCTAAAATGAGTGGATTTTATCAATAAGATATGAAATTTTAATTTAATGCCCTTTATCGCCATCTCTGATTAATATATTCAACTATAACTATCATTGGAACCCAACATAAATTTTAATCCCTATTTAACACCCTTTAAATGCAAACTTTCGATATTTTAATAGTTATTCTCCTATTTCCTGTAAATAAGAATCCAATAAATCTTAAATTATCAAAATCTCTGCAGCCATTCGTAAGTTATAAATGTTGTAACTAACACAACTATTTTTTTTGTATAAATGCTATAAATCTATATAGATTTGTACTCAGATTATTTCAAAAATTACAAATTTCCACTAAATATTTAAATTTGATGCTTCCAGAAGCGGAAAACGCATAGAATGATAACAGACATATTTACATGATAACTAGCTGGAGACTTTAAAGACTTTAATTAATTTGCACAGCATAGTTGTATTAATCTGCGGCATCCGCCCGGCGCCGACCCCGACCCAGTACCACTACCACAACCATCACCACTGTTACGTACTACTACGGCTACTACCACCCCCTGTGTTTAAAATGTATATAAAATGGTAACCCTATTAGTGGCGTAATAGTGCGTGAGAGTTGCCTAATTTATATACATATTCAAGGCTATGCGGCGCGCGGCTTATTCACTTTCGAAAATGAGAAAAGCGGGGGCGGGCGTGATGTTGGTGTAACGGTCGCGGTGGCACATCTTGAGTGAAGAAACGCGAGAGGATGAGGCGACACGAGTGTCGCTGAAGGATCCCGACAATGCGCATTAGGGAAACCTCCGCGTTTCCTCGCCGATGGTTTTGCTATTTGACGCTTGTGTTGTTCGGATAAGAGAGGATGAAGATTGTTAGCCATGCATGTATTGGATTAGTTTTTTTGTATGCGGAGAAATTATAGAAGTGGTCTCAAAATTAATTTATGAATTTGAATAAATATTATTGAAGGTAGTGGTCTTGGAATGTTGGTGGGTCAAAGAAACGTTTAATCCCCAATTGTCCCAACTTATCAACACACTAGCCTAGTTAGCCGGACATGGAGTCGAGAGGGGTTCGCTTGGAGCTGAAAAGCATCCCACCACAGTCCGCACATTGTGTTTGCACCACGCTGGCAACATTTCGACAATCGGCGTACTGGCACTGGCTCTGGCTCGCTGGCGTGTGTGCGGCTTGGCATGTCCTTCGAGTATTGATCCCCCGCACGGCGTGGCGCAACCCCTGACTCTTGTCCTTGCAGCGCGCCGCCAGCCCAGCAAACTTTCGATGTGACACGCTCGCTCGTGCGATACGCATGCAGAAACGCGGGAAACATGCACGCGGGAGAAACACTATCCGGCTTCCTTCGCCCACTACCAAACCAAACCCCCAACACCCAAGTAAATTCCGCGCGCGTCCTTTTGAGATATTGGAGCCGATGCATCCCTATACGCTTTCCGAATTAATTAATTGTTTAATTAGACGGTTAGGCACCACCTAACGCTAGTTACACATGTGAAATATCGAGGAATTTCCCTCGCACTACTAATTTTCCTCATCCCGGCAATTATTAACAAGATATAATGATGAAATTTGAAGCTAATTTAAAAGCAAATTTTTAGAGGCAAGTTGTAAGAAGATTTAATGAAAAATAACATGTAAGGGGTACATTAGGCGAAAAAGACCAGCATAATATATTTACTGAAATATTAACGAGTTCAAAAGCTCGGTGCTCGTTGTTTGCGCGCGGGGTAGCGTATATAATTGATAAATATTTAATGGAAATGCATTTTCCGCGCGTAGATGGACGCTCCGGCGATGAGATTTAATTAATTCCGTCGAGCCATCCTTGCGGGGGCCGCAAATTATGAGAATATTATTTAAAATATTCTCGGCGACTTTAGCAAGCGTAAATATATTAGATTTAGTGACGGTTTTAATAAAAATTGAATAGACAACCAGATAACTAGCGCCATCTAGTAGGGATAATTTAAAATATAATAAATTTACTAACAAAACAACAGAAACGAAATCAACTGATTTAATTATAAAGATATGCTGGCTGGGGAATAATTACAACAAAATAACATACATACAATTGCTAAAGTTTGGTTATTTTTTTGACACGAAACGCGAATAAACACACGTAAAAACAGTGGAAACAATCACGAAACGCGACCTATTATTGTAATTACCACCGGTGTGTATTGTGTAATTTCACTCGCTTTTTTTTCTCATTCATTTGCCTCTCGGGGCGCGCTTGCAACTAGCAACTATAACATTTTGACTACATTGCTGTGCGCGCGCGTGCTCGCGTGTCCTTTGGCAAGTTTTCGGAAAGCGTGTGCTTTCCGATTGAAATATAGCGCGGCCGACCTTTTCTCTCCTCGAAACTGCACATTACGTTATATACGACGACGGACGAGGGTTCGAAATATTCAAATTTATTGGGATTAAAGAGGACTTTATTGTCGCTCCACCTTAGCCACCATCCTTTCCTTTCGGGATGCACATCATGCTTACAGCCATGAGCATAGATAGTTTGCCGTGAATGTCATATCATATCGAGTGTCTGTGTATTTTTAGCATGGAATCATTTTTCTGTGAAAATCAAATTGAATTTTCTAAAAGTCAAGCCCGCGTGGCATTTAAAAAATAAAACGCATTCGTCATCGGTTTATCAATTCGGCTATTGTCGAATGCAATGTTTACATAAGTTCTTTGCAGGCAGAAATATAGCAATTATTTTAAAATTCAACAACCAAAAAAAAAAGTTAACTATTTCTACAGTTCACACTCAATTTATTACCGGTGCATATACAAAATGTTGCAAATTTACATTTTGTGCATTTATTTCGGAAATTGAATAAATTTAATAAATAATAATTTGATAATAATTAAAAGTTTAAAGTGCACGTTACACTTGTGTATAGATATATGTATGATATTTTTTATGGATGTTCTTTACACTATTTTGATGTATGAATTTAAATTCATAAAACTTGCTGTGTATTTTTTAGCCATCATGTATGGCGCATGTAAAAAGAGTGGGTTTGCATTCGGGCGATGCTCACCGCGTGCCCGGTGGTGGTAATATATTGTGGTGCTGATACAAAATTAAAAATATGCAAACGAATGCAAAATTTAATAAATAACCATATCAGCGCGGAGAGCACCAACGCCAGCGTGCGCTGGCTAAAAATAGCGCGACTCGTAATAAATGTGCAAATGTGTGCGTAGGTATTTATTTTTGCGAATAATAAAAAGTATATCAAGATATTAAATTGTTTTCGTAATTGCTTACCACTGGAACGCCAAAACCAGCAAACTGCATCGATGTTGGTATCGGGCGCCTCGTGCACAACTCACACACACGCGAATACTAAGCGTTCAGCGTTTCGTCCGGCAGGAATTCGCGGTGGAAATTCTTGATAGTGGTTTTTCATGCACATGTACCACCCCCGCGCGTAGGTATTAACGCGTTATCAATAACGGAGAAAGAATTGTATTAATTTATTGAAAATGCACGGAAATGTTAATTTTTGTTTGATTTATTGTTCTTTATAAGACGCGTCGCGCACGACTTTGCGTTAGAGACTCGCGAACCGAAATGGTTCTGCGTACATCTTTACCTGTGCGCGAAACACTTCTTATCGCTTTATCAAAGATAAGATAAACAAACGCTACATTCCAAGTCTAAAGTAAACAAACAGAACTGCACAACGCACGAAAAGACACACGAAGAGATTGTTTTTGTTTTTTGTGAATCAAAACTAAACAAGTCGAAACATGTCGAGAGAAATCAAATCAAAACAGAAAAATTCAAACGTAGTATTAGAATGTATGCAACCTAATCTGCTGGATGAAACAGATGACCGTTACTGCGTAATTTTGATGTAATATGAATTTTAAAAGATGCGTTTGCAATAGAATAAATGTAAATTCTCAAATAATCTTAAAATACTAGTAATCATAGATTATTTCGATTTAGATGTACTGTTTAAACATGTCGTGAAACGATTAGATAAATCAAACTAAATTTTAATTTTGGTGAATATACGCGAAATATAGGTAATACGGATTTGTGTTTTGTGTCTTACGTGTTACGTTTGTTTGTTTTGTAGTTGGTAACGTTTATGGGTATTAATCGCACTTAATTAATATAAATGTTGTAATAAAAGAAATGTTCGATGCACTTTCGCCGGAGGAACGCTGCGCTAAACGCTTAGTTGCAACAGTTGCAACTATGAGATCGGCGGCACTCTTCGCGGCGCATGCGTATGTGTGTGTGTGATAGCCGCGTCCTGCCGAGTGCAAACGAAATTCAAACTTGTGTCTTGAGCTCTGCAGCCGAAAGTACACGTACAAAATTGAATTAAGTTGTAAAAAAAATGTATTTATTAAAATAATTTTGTGATTTTCTTGGATTTTACAATTTTGTATGCGAGTTTTACATGTTTCGCCCTGTGGGCATCATCAGAAACTCAATTACGTATTCAACTTAGAAAATAATAAAATTAAGTTGTGTTGTTTCATGAAAGTAAATAAATATTTAAAGAAACTGTTGGTTTGTTTATATTTAATAGTGAATTCTATACAATTGAAAGCTGAAAACTTGAGAATACAATCGAAGAAGTTGTTACGCAATCCTGACACTTTAAATCCATAAACGAGGGTCAACACAACATCCACTAAATATTAACCGACCATAATTCTGTTCCTTAATATTAATGTCGAACCCTTATTCGTTTAATAGCTTAAGCAAACCAGGCTTAATTTATCGATCAGTAATCGGCGTAGTGGAGTAGCAGCGAATCTGTTCGGCAATCCCGTTTATTAATCGCACAATTCGCGTCGATTGTCTCTATTTTCTATTCCCACAAGCAATTATTTTAGCTCTAACCGCAGCGGTTTAAATAAATCATTTTTAAATGGACTCTCACCATTGAATCATTCAATTGCCGACGCGCGGACACTTTGTATGCGCGCTGGCAACTGTTGAAATTTCACGCAAAATATTATTTGTCTAGCAAACCCTTTTCAGCGTGTGCAGGGCGACGACGCTGACACTGACATCAGCAGCGGTGGTGGCGTAGCGTTGGTTTCCGTTTTTGGAAACTGTCCACCGTGCTGCGCCCCCGCTGAAATGGCTAAATTAATTAAAATATTCGATCCTCATACAATGCTCCCCTGAAACGCGAATTTCCCACAGTAGCATTGTATCTGCCCGCCAAATGATAAAACAAACGAAAAAACGTCCTTCAACAACACGTGAGCAAAAAATACGCGTAACGCATTGAAAGTGTTCGAAAATTAATGACTGTTGACTAAAGACGTCGCCAATATCCGCATACTAAACCGCGTTATACTAATGCAGGTTTTATTTTGATAAATTGATTTATCGCACAAACGCGCACAATCTATACATATATTCGTTATTCCTTTTTGGAAAACCGGAAAAAGTTGAGTTCTCCTCCGTTTTTTTGATAGAGAGTGCGGGCATCATTTATAAAAGCAAATGATCCCGAAAAGCATAGAAATGCGAGCCAAAAATAAACTTTATTCATCCCACCCGTTGGTTTGATTCATTGTTTACCCATGAGATGTGCACCCTCATCACTTATTTATAAATTCCACACATTTGGATGCCACTTAATTGTCGATAAACTAACAAACAGAAAAATACGCGCATCTGTAATTTTTATTCATTAGAATCCGAAATATAGGGAGATGTGGGTGTTGATGTCAGAACGAGGAGGTTGCGGGGAGTCAGCTAAGCCGGGACACCGGGAGTTAGGTGTGGATTTGCACGGCGTGCGCAAATTTCCTGGCGAAAATTAGATTTCCGGTCGTGCATCACACACAAGGAAATGTGCACGGCGAAGGTTTAAATTGTGAAGTTTCCAGTACTGCCAATGTGTGTGTAGGTGTGTGTGTGCCCTGCATTTCCACTGCAGTCTACCTAGTGGAAATCCCTTTAGATCTACTGACCACCTGTCTGCCGCAAAGGGAGCGACTTTTTTTCTGGTTTACTATGGGCTTATTGAACTAACCCAGAGTGGGAAGTTATGCTAACACGATTTATCGAATATATAAAAATTTGAGTGTTTTTATTTTTCCGATGCACTTTTCATTCGCCTTTCATCACTTTTGTATCCTACAAGACTCGTTCTAAATTACGAGTTTTAATAAAACTCCCGCGCATCGCTTGCGCACAGCGCCGAGCAATATTACATGATTTACAATTGCCGCGATAGGAAATATGAAGGCGGTGCAGTTGAGATTTTACATCATGCACATCGTATACGTACAATAAACAAGCAACTATCTGTGTTGTGTAGCTGTTGCTGGGGTTTTCTTAGAATACGGATGCAATTATTTTCAGTTTGCTTATAAAATCTATTTGTTTGCTGCGTTATTGCGAGAAACCAGTAAACAATGTCGATGTCGATAGATTGAGATTCTATCAGAGGTGAAGTGGTTTTATTTGCTCACCTACGCAATAATAATAATAATAATAATAAAAGAATTGAAGAGTAAAGATGGAAAATGAAGTGGATTTTTCCTTTTGGCCGAAGTGGAATTAAGCGCTGGATGCTTTGTCACTGGTGTACGAATTTTATTCATTCCCTTTTTCACGCAACATCTCCATTCGCTTACATGCGAATTAATCAAAGCTGAACCTTTGTCACATCAGCTTTCTCGGCTGGGTGAAAAATGAACGAACGAACGTGTCGTCGAGAACGTAATTACGTTGTCTTCTTTCAACAACAATAATATCCACGCAGTGAATAAAGTATAGTATTTTACAAGTATAAATATTCATTGAACTGGAATCCCGGTGTTGATTCGCTTGTAAAAAATACGTTCTGAGCACTATAATACTAATTTACATCAATGTATTCATCGTTTACAGGCAGGTCCCGGACATTGTACGCTAGTCACGCAATCGAAGTCACGTCAGTTAATGAGATGAATGCATCGCGATAGCATGGCATATGCGTGGGTGTGTGGGTGCGCATAAATTAAAGACGAACACGGCCATCACATTAAGGCTATTGCACCCTGTTTCGCACCCAGCGCCACAAAAAAAAATTTACAAGTCCCTCGTTTGCTTGTTCGTTCACTGCTGGTCATCGTGCGCGGTTGGAACCGTCCAGACGTTATAATTTATTGCCAGATTGCGGCGATAATGTAATATGTAGTTTATGTTGGTTCGAACGATATCATTGCGCGCGCGGTGCTCGTGTCACACGAATGTCGCACTATCATAACACAAAAGTTTAAAATTCCCATTGTTTGCGAAAGGCAAGAAATTCGCCAATCCGGCGTTTCCCGAAGGCGTGGGTTGGAAGCACTTTGGAATCTTGGGGATTCGCGAAGTTAAAAGCTCCCCCAAAACCAGAACATGCATACACATGGAGAGCACATCGGCACGCGGAAAATGGTTTTTCCGTTTGCGAGGCATTGTCGTTACCGTTGCGCGTATCACACGAATCTGCCAAACAATATAACAGGGTGGAACGAGGAAGAGGCCTCGACGAACACTTTTAGCGGATCGCCTCTTTTGCATGCATCTGGGAACTTCTGTTTGCAGTTGTTTTATAACTTTGGATGCTTGACTTTCGGCGCGCGCGCTTGGCACATTGTGTCATCGTCACCCATCGTCTTCTTCGGGGACTTGAGTGCGCCTGCAGGCGATATTTATTCAAGACGGCAGCTCGCTCGCTGCCTGATTCTTGGGAAACTGTTTACATGTTTTAATTTTACTTACACAGCAAGTTTTTTTCTTCATTTTTGTTTTTTTTGAAACAAAAATGCTATGCTTTATAAGTAGTTGTTGTTAGCGCATGCTGGATTTAAAACCTAGCAACAATTACATGGACGCATGCACATTACGGGGCGTAATTAAAAAGGACAAGCGAGCGAGCGGTTAATTGCCGGAGAGAGAAGTATAGCAACAGCTATTCCATCGGGCGGAGGCAGTTGGATGGCTGCTATTAGGACGAAAACTACTCGCCGCCCGAGCTGTCTTCCAAGTTAACATGAAGGTGCCTTATCAGACGGAAACGCTGCCAACTCGCGCTCGCCCCCCTGCACCCCGACACGACCATCTGCAACGCGGCGGCGTCGGCTGCGGCTTTTTGCCACCGACCGATGGATAGCTGCAAGTTTGCACGCGGCGTGCATTGTGCCACCCCACGCTGTCACGCGAGAGCACTTGGAAGCGATTTCTTATGCCCTGGCAAAATGGCCGAGGAATATCACACACCTAATCACAATTTTACGCGCAATAAACTCCAATTGCACGTCAGTGTCTAAAGAAACTGAGAATTAAAAATACATACGTGTGATGAAATTTTTAGTAAATGCCGAAAATTGCTTTAAATAACCAGCAATTTATTATCGAGTTTAATATCACTTAAAAATCGATTTAACTTTCTTCAAGTTGGGAAATATATTCTCGCGTGCTGCAGTGCTGCTAGTTGGAGGTTTGCAATTGGGTTCGATTTTGCGAATATCGCCGGCTGGAAATATAAGCACATATTTGTTGTGCGCATGATGATGGGAAAAAAGCAACCGTCGATCGCGCGGCGCCCGTGTAAATAAAATAAATTTTCGATTCGGTAAACACACACGCCGCCGCTACCGCCGCCGCCCGTCCGCACGCGATATAAAACTAGCGCCGCTGCCGCCGCCAGCGTTACTGCA